GTGGCCGCGTAATAAATAGGGGTAAAGACAAAAGAGAAACCCTCATCGGGATGACCTAAAGGTAGCCGCGGCCGTTTAGTAGAGGTTGCCGGTTAATAGGGGTTTTATTTGTAGTATTTTACTGAAAATAATTTCGGGACTTTGATATCTGGGTAGCCGCTTAATAGGTGGCTGCTTAACAGTGGTTCGACTGTATATGGAAAATTTATCCAAGTTGTTGATGGAATCTAAAAAAATAATGATTTTGCAATGTTTAAAATACATTTCAAGTTGCGGTTGTAATGGCAAAGACAAATAACGCAGACAAACATTTGCACATAAAAATTTCGGCGAGGAATAAATAAACATTTGCTGAAAGTAAATCCTCTTTTAAGATCTCGAAAATGATTCGAAGGGAAGTTATATCCACCGCTCCGCCCTCCATTCCCTGTACACTCAGGCTAAGTGTTAAGCCTCTATCAGAAAGTTAATTTCTAAACTAAAAACAGACATTAACGAAACAATGCATTCCTTTTCAGCGAGCTTAATCCCCTTATTGGAAGCCTCTTCATGCGTCGCATTAAGTCTTATAAATCATGTAAGGTTGGTGCAATACCAACTGCAACACTGAAAACTAAGGCCGATAATTTATAACTACCGCCAATTTCACAGTCTCTTTCGCAGCCGTTATTAGGGTCATAACGCGATGTGCTAATTTTTCTCTCGGGTGGAACCAGCATTTCAATCTATTGAGCTATTTTGTATACTCTTCCTAGAGTCCAAGTAAATGTGGGCTTATGTTTTGTCGAATTTGTTGATCATTGGGAAGTTGTTTAATGCAGCGGGGTATTTTTAGTAGAAATCCAGTCTTCTTATTATACCCCTGTCTTGAGCACTCACTTGGAGATCTGGGACTCAATATTCAAGAGCCATTGTGAGTTTTGCAAATAATACATGGACAACATAATAGCAATATATCCCATAGTCCCCTTCGATTCCCATATTGTTGCTATTCCTTTTTTGTGCACATCCTTTCAATGAAATCTACTGACTTTTAACCTAAAGCTCTGTTCTATACCTTGCACCCTGTTATGGCTGGCCCTCGTCTGTCTAGCATTAAATAGCCTGGCCTTTCGAAAGAAAACTAGCTTTTTACATGATTTTATGTCCAGCCCAGTTTATTTATTCCCTAATACATGTAGTGTACCGGAGCAAGCTTGACAGTGGCCGACGAGGACTGAAAATCATGCAACAAAATTAAACCGAATAATGGCCAATTTAGTCTTTAGTAGAAACTGGACCCTAGCCTGAATGTACGCCATATCCTAGTGACTGAGTTTCAGCAGGCCAATAGGTAGACACTCTAGGAATCAATTTGATATCCGCCTGTATCATAATGTAATCATAACACAACTTTAACATTTAACTCTCTTAACTCTCCCGTATACCCAGAAACCATTAGCACCAAAAAAAAAAACAAACAAAAAGGCCCAGAACTTATTATAACTGAGATTTCGCGATATCAAAACAATTTTCGGCTTTTAACCTCATATTTGATTACCGGCTTATCAACACTACCCTACCACCCTGACTCGTCTGAAACGTGTTATGGTACATTATGCGTTAGGCTTTTATCAGTTTGAAAGCATCTCTTTGTCCAAATATAATTAACGTATGATGTAATTACTGCTCAGAAGAGCGGTTGATCTAAAGGAGTTCTGATGAGGCTATGATTGAACGAGAACAACGCCACTTAAGTTACAGGGGGTGCTTATTGGTGTGGTGGGCACCTATTACAATAGGGTAACTTATTGAGAAAACATTTTCTTGGTTGCTATTCGACTGTTTTCAAGCTTCCCAGGATCTGTTGCTTTGTTCATAGCGGCTCGCTGTAAAGTTAATATCCAAGATGGAAGAGGAATTTTGGTAATATTTGAAAGTTACGCGAATGTGCAAGCCACATGCGCAATAACGGGAGAGTAACACTTGCCAGCATTCTCGCTACAAAGCGTTTTACCTCTAGTTACAAGAATGAAGGACACAAACATAACGGGGAACGATGTTCGTATAACCCGGCAAATAATGCCATTTTCTTTTTATATATACATTGGTTTAGAAAATGGTGTATTGCATTTAGTTTAACTTGATTAGACCACATAATATCATTAGTTAGTTAAATTACACTAACAGATTAAAAAACAGAGAGTGTTTAGCATATCGATTCAGCACAAAATCTAGATTAATGAAATTTTTAAACCTGTTGGTATCGATAACCCACCCCCGAAAAAAATATGAAAAAAAGGGCTATTACATTACCATTATAATACAACAATGTTAAATATTTCATTAAAGAGATCCCGGGTAACAAATACAAATAAAGGCGTGTTTTCAAGTCAATGCAAGTTACCTTCAGGAAAAGAAGGAAAGGAAAGAAAAAAAAGGTTTTCGCTTTTTGCCAATTGCTCACCAACGCAATTAAACAGATGAGACTTTTTATATATTGCATATGCATACATACCCCAGGCAATGTCGGTGTATCCTCCAAAGACGTAGTGATTTTTTCTAATTATAGTAACAGTGTGGGGCTTGCCATCACAGCGACTGTGGAATGTACTTGCAGCCCAGCCGTTAGATGAGGCGCGGTAACACAGTTTCCAAATGTTTGAACCAGGCACAGGATCTAAATATCGGCTGAGATGACTGATGAAGAAGTGATTGCTTTGGATAATATTTGACTGTATTTTCATCCCTAAAATCATAGAAAGTAGGTATAGTAAGTTGTAGTCCTCACTGATTCATTCTCGGCGATATATATATGTCTAAATTTATGAAAACCGTGTCAAATTTGGAGCAAAACTTTCGCGCCTGCCTGCCGACGCCTCGTTAGGGAGGCCTTTGCGGTTCTTGAAAAGCGAGGGGGGCTTCCGTCAAGGAGGGTTGAGGAAGATAGCCCTGGTGTCTGGCTACCAGCTGTTACTAATCAGGGGCCCAAGGCTCTAACCCCAGGGGGGTGGGGTGGGTCACAGGGAGAGGCTTTTTCCCTCACTTAAACTGCTCATTTTCTTTGCAGGACAGCCTTGGTCGGCAATGCCCTGTTGCAGCCTTAGCGGCCAGCGACCAGCCAACCAGACAGAAGCAAAGTGGGTGAGTAGGGTGTCTGTTGACAGAATGCCTGTGGTTGATTAAGCGAAAAAACCTGTGTATTTTGTTGGAGAAGTGTCAGGGTGGTTGTGTTGAAATTAGCACGGTTTTCATAAATCCTGACACACATATATGTATTACCCAAGAGCAAATTTTCGCTGCCTTCTCCGAGAGACTGAAGGGAATATGGATTTTAAGCAGCTAGTACCACGACGCCGAGGAAATACCAATCAATAGTTATTCTTCTAATAGACATGACCTTCAGTACTTTCGTGACGTCATCCGCACACACAACTGTATACAAACGCTCGGACATTAGGTGCTGTCGTGTTTTGACTTTAACATATCGTCACCACACTTTAATGATTGATTTTCGGATTATAGTAGATGAATCTTTTGTTAGTTATTTCGTAGATAATTAAAAGTAAAAACGTATATATTACATGATCCTAGTAGATTGCACGACGGCTCATTTCCTGACCACGAACCATTTTTCAGGCAGTGACGTTCAGAGGACCCTTTCAGCCAGTATCCAGGCTTACAACTGAAGGAAACTCTCTTCCCTTGCCGAAATTGCTGACCATAAATAAAACCAAGTTCCAGGCTTTAGAGAGGTGGGCAGATTCTGCGACCTTAATTAAAGTGAATGGAGGTACATGTATAAGTAGCGTGCTATCGAACAACACTTTACCAACGTATCTCGTTCAAACTGTTGTACATACATTTCATGGTAAAAGTGGTAAGTTTTAATAGTTATTGATCAGTTTTAACATCAGATCGAACAGATTACTACAAAGGCACGCAAACTAAAACATAATCACATTACATACATGCAGGTTGTATGCCACTCCAGTTACCAGAAAGCAGGCACACTCTAGTGGTTGGCCCAATTAAGCGATATCCCGGATGACAAATGAACGTCACAGTTTCCCCAGTCCAGTATCGTGAGCCGTGTTTTTGTCCGTTTAATGGAGAACAAGACAATTTACTAAAACTTTAAAAAAGAGATTGAATCGTTAAAGGAACTTGTCATTTGTACAGACTATACTGTGAAGTATATAATTAAACAATAGAGTGTTTCTGTCGAGGAACTATTGGATGATAGTTGCCCAGCGGAAATTTGATGTTTTTAAAGCAAATATGGAAGTTTAAAGAACGTCCAATTTCCAAGGGGCAACTATTAGGTCGATAGTTCTGACATAAACAATTTATTTTCTTTATTGTTCGCCAGTAAAATTTTCTTCCGCGAGCCAGGTCAAACATCATATCGAATTATTCCCAACTGTTTTAGATGAAACCCGCTCAAGCCAAATGTAAGTTTGGCAAAAAAGAAACCAGACAAAACCCATTTAAAACAATTTCAATTGTTTATTTTCTATAAGCCCGCTTGTTTACAGAGAAATTTTTAGGGACGAGTACAATCCATCCCGGTATTTCCTTCGGACGGGTACTATGGGCTGATCATGTCTCTCCGCGGATGAACCCTATCGCGTCACGTAATCAATTTAAACCAATAAGAATTGAAGAAAATAACGGGTTATAGAGTACTTAGTGTTCATATGGCGTTACCACTGCCCTCCACACCCTCCCCACCCCCACCACTCACTCGCCCCAAGTGATACCCCTTGTCACATACCTACAGTACCTTTTACCGGCAGAATCTTTCTATCGTAAAAAGGCCCTCCAGGAAATTTCTGCCCTAAATAAATTCAAATCCCCCGAGGGACGCTGTCAGTTAAAACACTTGCACAAGATGAAAAATGTCTTATTTAACAGAAACTGCCTTCAGTTACAGACCTTATAAAAAATGGACTCATTTTCCATTTAAGTCAAGGAACAAGAAGAAATGAACTACTGACATACCTAGAGCTGTGCTGGCTTCCGCTGTACCATCCTTATCATTTTCGAATAGACACGTGTAGATCCCAGCGTCACTCGGCTCGAAGCGATGAATCACAAACTCACTTTTTATTAAGTCATTCTCCTGGTGCGCCGCAGTAGAAATTACGCTTCCATCCTTCAACCATTTGACTTTAGGCAGCGGCAAGCCACGGGCGGAACAGTTTAACTTGACTGAATCACCAACATTCTGCGCTTGAATTTCACTGGGTGGACTTGACACAATAAAGGGATTCACTTAAAGAAACAAAAAACACCTTCATCACTGCACCCGCTCTTTGCTTTTCCAAAAATAACATTTTGTTTCAAGGCTTACCAACATCCTTTACAAAAATCCAAATCACTGCCATCACACTCCCCAGTTCATTAGTACCCTGGCAAACGTAAGCACCACCATCATCCTCTGATGTGTCTTTTATCGTAAGTTTGTTACCATCAATGACATGTCTGTTAATTGGAAGTTGCTTGAGTGATCTTGTCCACTTTACCTCAGGGAAGGGATAGCCAAATATATCACATTTGAGAATCATATCCCAGTTCTTGTAAGCGGTTACAGAACTCTTTGGTTTTGTGACAAACTTTGCAGGTACTATAAATAGAATAGGAAGAACAAAGAACTGATGACATATAGAGTCTCTAGATCAAACTTATTTTGTCATTGTCTGAGTTCCATACAGTAAAATTACTTGGTACCAAAGGAAAAAGTGATGCTCGCTTTGTACATTATCGTTGCTTACTGAAGACATATAATATTGAATCTATAATGGGTGAAAAAATTGTTGAGACGCTTTGCTATTTTAGATTACTTAAGACGAATTTGACCCCTCAACTCTATACGATACTACACCCTCCCCTCTCTTTCCTGTACAACATTGAAAAGGGGAAGGGGTGTGGCTTTCAAAATAAACTGAATTTGAAATGGAATAATTGAAATATTACAATTAGCACTCGATTCAGTCGACTGCCTCAATTACTTTTGTCACCCATTATTGGTTTACCTAAATTGTGTCTATTTTTGAACAGTATACGTGAAAATCTAGGCTTAAGTCCGAGTTATCTCACAGAAATCATCTTTGGAATAATCAGTGAGAAATGTTGTTTCTAGTGAGCTGTAGTTTTAAAATTCCAAATCATTGTGTTAAATATTTTAGAAACAAAATGATTAAGCTATTCACTTCAAAGTGCAGTCAATTGTTCTAAGTGTAAGGTGCAGATAACGAACGCCTCAAGTTTGCTTTATTCTTTTGTGAGGTGATGTTGAAACCAGAACGAGATCACTCGTTTCCAAAAATACCCCCGAGGTAATTGCATTCGTTAATTTCAATGCTTTACTTACCGTTCACAGTTAAGTTGACTGATAACTGAACTCTGCCCAACAGATTCTCCGCTGTGCAAGTGTAGATGCCGTCATCTTCATACAATATGTTCATTATTTCCAAATGTCTTTTCTTAAAATGTTTCCTTTCTTCTTCTATCGCGTGACCATCTTTATACCACGTGATTACCGGTGGTGGGAACCCAACTGCTTTGCAGGGTAAAGTCACGTTTTGTTTTTCTTTGACCGTGATGAAAGGAAAAGGCTTTGTAACAAAGTGCAGTGATTCTGTAAACATGTCAAAGAAGATGGTTCTTTAAAAATAGAAGAACCGTAGCCAGCACAAAACATATTAAAAATTTATAAAAAAAACGTTCACTGGCTATATAAAGTTTCAGAGCTTTCGGCTGCCAGACTACAGCCTTCGATGGATAAAAAATGGAAAAGATAACAACTACAAAT